GGGGAGCAGGGGGCTTCCTCCACGTGCACCCCACCCGGACCGTGACGTCGCAGGGGGTCGTGCCTCTGGGGGGAGGGGCAGAGACGTTACATTGGGCGGGGGCTCTAGGTTGGGAGCGCGCTGCCAAGTCTCGCGAGAGCTGGGGAGGGGGCGGGCAGTGGTGCCCCTCCCCATTAGTGACCCATCTAGGGGTGGGGGCTATGGGAGGGCTGTGGGGTTGCCCAGGGCTGGCAAGAGAAGCCCAGTCGTCTTCAAGTCCCCTTCCTGGGTGTGCTGCGGTGGCTGGGCTCCCTGCCATATAAGTGGGGTGCACTGGCATGGCTGCCTGAATCGGCCTGTCGTTTTTCCTTGTAGCCCCAAGGCAAACACTGGTATTTGGCGCAGGGCTAATGAGGCTGAAAGCCCTGGGCCTGTGGCGGCACCAGCATGTGGCCTATGAAGCCTGCATGGTGCTGGCATGAGCAAACGAGCATGTCTGCATGGCTCTTTCTAGAGCTGCACGAGTGCCACGAGCTCTCTGAGCTCGCCGGGACCTGTGCTGGCTCTGGCCATAGCCACTGTGTACACCTCTGGAGCCCAGGGCAAATGTTGCTGCCATTCTCCTTCATTTCCCATGGGCTCCAGAGCTGTGTGAAAACTGGCTCCAGCCAGAGTCTGGACCAAGAGCTGGCGGATCTTGAGCAGTGCTTTTCTACGTGGTCCTCGGCCCCTTTTTGATAGCAAGGTTTGGTCCACTTGTTGAAAGTGTTGAACGACATGGATCTAGGGGCTTCTAGTTCCTAATTCTTTAATGCAAGTGTTCATTTAGAGCAGGAGAGCCGCTGGCTCGTCTTCCCCACATCCCTACGCTTGGAGGGTGAAACAAAGGCCGTTGACAGGCTTCATGCTTGTGTGTTGTTTGTAAGTATCATTTGATGCATGCTACAGTGCCAGACATTAAGCCAGCTTATCCAGGATGAAAAGGGGGCAGATCATTGCTGCAAAGAAGTTGCTTGTTGAAACAGCAGGAAATAAGCTGCAATGATTTTAATTTATGGCCTGTTGGCATGCTATGATTGATTGTGTGATACTTGCTTGTGACATGCAAAAGGTGGAACCTTTCCTACAGTCATGGGCCTAAGTCAACTGGTTATGCTTTTTTATTTCTTGTCACTAGGACAAAGCCAACTTTGCAGGGGATTGCTGGTTAAAAACACCATGCAAAAAGTGTATGTGGATCTCAGTAATCCCCATGGACTGGATTTAGTCAATGTGGAAGTTCCTTCTAGTCTCCTGTGTGTGTGGTTTGTGAGAAATGCAGATAGTCATTTTCAGTTTTGTAACTCATTAAAATGATCTTGCCACTCTTACATTCTCTCATTTCTAAAAGGCATGTTGTCCTCATTCCACCCCCCTTTCCCCACCCATGCTGCTTGTCTTAAAGTCAAGAGGTCGGGGTGGAGGGGAAGAGAGATTCTAATACAGATGCATGCTTTCTTTGGTTCATGAGCCTACAAGGGCAGAAGGCTGTATGTTTACTCACAGTAGTTCCCACTGTTGCAATAGTGTACTTAAATTCGGGAGCTTAGGCCAAAATTTTCAAGAATGGGAACCAAATTAGTTTCTGCATTTAGGTGCTAAAATCAGTGGTTTCCAGCTAGTCAAAACATCTGAGAATCGGGCCATGTATTTAAGGAATGATACATGGGTTTAAGTATTTAAATTTTGACTTGGCCATTAGGTCCTCTTCCCCAAAGTTTTTAAATTATTGTCAGAGATGTGTTTTTGTGTGCATGTCTCTCTCCCTGTGTTGACGTTTTACTTTTATGTTAAAATACTGCTTTTTGCTGATTATTCAGAAAGTCAATCAAAGATGAAGGCCAACCAAGGAAGAAGCTGCACAAGAGAGAGAGAATTTGAATATAAATTCAGTGCTGGAAATCAGCGTTTTGTACTTACAGTGCCTCTCAAATTCCCTGTGCAAGAAAATGTCAGTCATTTGCATGGACGTCTAATGCTTCTGCACAACTTGCCATGCTTTATAGAAAACGGTAAGATTTTGATATAAAAGTGATTGGTGTCATATGTACTAATGTGCTATAAGAGCCAAAGGAGAGGATATAATTGATTAGACTTCTTAAAAATAATGTTTAGCTGTTTGAGATAATTAGTAGTAGGAAAGTGGGTGGTTAGCAAATTTATGAACTCTCAAAACTTATTTAAACCTTTTTTTCTATCCACGAAAATCTCTTTGAAGCATTATTGTTTGTTTGTTTGTTTGTTTGTTTCAAACAGACTTAAAGCAGTTTCTTAGTAAGTTCATAGAAGAGGAAACTATAAAAGATTATGATAGAGAAGCTGAGGCAGCCCTGGAAGCTGTGAAATCAGGAAAAGTAGATCTCGGCTATCTGGCAGATGCTTGGGCTAAAGCTTATAAAGAGGTAAGACAAAGTCTGAAATAAGAAATTCCAGGGGTTTGGTATTGTTGGCTTCTACTACCACGCACATAGATATGCCGTGGAATTCCCTTTGATCATCCCATGCACCTGATTATTTGGACAGAACTTTAGGACATCATCCTAAAAGTCCATAATCCAAGTTTTTTTTTTTAATTTAATTTCATCCTGTTGATCTCAAGCTATCATCAAGAAAATCAATCAAGACAAGTTCTATACATAGGAATGAGATCAAATGCACAAATAGAAAACGTAGAGTAACTATGTAGGCAGCAGCATGGGAGAATCTGTGGTTATAGTGGGTCACAAATTTAAATGTGAAAATGTGGTATTGTTTAGGTGAGGTGGAGGCAAATCTTGCTTTGGGGCATATGACATACCTGTTAATATGTAAAGCTAGGAGGTAATTATTCCTCTGTACTTTGTGCTGATGGGGCACCATACTTTAGGAAAGATTAGACAAATTGGGAGAGTGTCCAAATGAAAAAATAAGAGTAAGTTGTTTTTTTTTTTCCTCAACATTATAAGAAAAATATTTATGGAAGTAGGTTTCTTTAGTTTAAAAGAAAAATAAGGGGCAACATAAGTTCTCTAATCCATAAAAGGTGATCACTTGTACTCAGTGGTTACCAGTGTGAGGACGTAAAAAAGAAAACAGCTTTTAAGTTGTAGCAAAAGAAATGTAGGTGGGTTATTAGGAAACATTTCTCTCTGTTAGAGTAGTGAAATGCTGGAAAGGATTATTTGGGAAGCTTGTGGAATAGTCTTCACTGGTTAAGAACAGGTTAGACAAACAACTGATGGGAATGGGCACAAATTACTACGAGGTAGCTACCCTGTAAAAACTGCTGGTGTGCATGCTCTTACCCTTCAATACCTGAAAACTAAACTGTGGCAATTTAATCCTTTTTTTAATTGAAAGGTAAGATACCCCTATGTACAGCATGCACCTAGATAGTTTGAACACTGTAGCTACTGAACTCTCTTGGCTAAAATGTGTAACTTCTGAAAGACAGTGGAGTTGAAAAGATGTAAATAGGGCAGAACTGAATTTTATACTTGTGTAGAATGTGTTCTTTTACTCTTGTTTGGCCCCGTTCTTGAACTGATCAGTTGGGATTCTGGTTGTAGAGCTCAATTTTGGAAATTGTTCAGGTAGATTTTTTTCCCCCCTAATAATTCCAAGGATAGGAAACAGTTCAACTTTCTTTTAAACTGTGTACAAGGTATTGAATTGAATCAGGTTGTAAATTTAACTCTTATTCTGGAGAGTGAGGAACTCTTGTACAGTTGCCTGCCTAAGGTACAGACTAAGAGAATAAACATGATAGAAATGAGGGTGTAG